TGCCGCAGGGCGTACAAGACTCCAAAGGCGCGGGACGCAAGAGCAGGCGGGTGGGGCTTGCGAAGCAGCCACCAGTGGCCGTGCACACCCAGCAGGGCTGCGCAGCGTCGGTCGAAGAAGCCCCCCTCGTGATCCGCGCCAGCATTCGCCGTCGTCCTCTGGCGCAGGCCAGGGAGCGGGGCCGAGGTGGGTCGGTGAGCACGGGCGAATGAAGTCCAGCAGCCTCGGGCCTTCGCCGACAAGAACAGCAGTGTCGCGCGCGTGGTCGCGGTGCGCGGTCGCTGCGGCGCCCAGCAGCGGTACCGCAGGGCGATGTGTTCCTGGGTCTCCTCGTCATGGTCGCCACTGAGGGGACGAGCCGGCGGAGACCTCTGCGCAGCGGCAGCGCAGGGCGATGTGTCCCTGGATCTCTCCGTGCTGGACGCATCGGCGGCACAGATCTGACGAGGCGGTGGAGACCTCTGCGCGGGACACCGCTGACCTCTGGCCACTCTCTGCCGTGCGCGGCCCCCCGTCCACCAAGAAGCTGCCGAGCGAGGCCCGCGCCTCCACGGGGCGAGCCTCGTGGCAGCATCCGCTTGGCCCGGGTCAGCAAAATGGTGGCGCACGTAGCCAGGGCGTGCCGCACGGCGGCAGGGGGCCCAAGATCGTGTTGCGCACCTTGGGGCGCGCAGCAGAGGAAAAAGAGGACGCGGGGACGCCCAGAGAGCGCGGCCCTCCCAGGTCTTTGGGCACGAACGCACAGGCCGGTGCCGCCCACCTGCGACGCACGACCTTGACGACTCTCGACGCGTTGTCAGGATTCGTCGCTCGAGTCCAGCTGCAGCCACCGGCAGCGCTTCTGCTGTGGGGGGCCTGACTGGACGTGCACCAGCAGGCCAACGCGGGCGAAGGCGCTCATGCCACCCTGCGCGCTCTTTGGGATCTCGACACGTTTCTGAATACCCCTCAGGGCTCCCGACCGCTCCTGTGACGACTGCCTCCTCGCCGCTCACGCGTCGGGTGGGCCTCCGATGCCCTCTGGAGGCCCTCGTCTGTGGCCCAGCCAGGCGGCATTGCGAGCTTCCCCCAACACACGACATCAGTATAGAGCAATCTAAAATAGTCCTTCGAAGCGCCAGGGATGGAGAGCGAGTCAACGACGGCCAGCAGCCACTACTGCGACACGGAAGGGAACGCTTGGCCAAAGTCGTATCCCGCGAGGATCGGGACGAGCGACGGATCACCCATACTTCAAGCCCTAGCACCTCCCCCTCCCCCTCCTCCTCCTCTTCCTCCTCCTCTTTTTCCTCCTCCTCCTCCTCCTCCTCCTCCTCCTACTCCTCCTCCTCCTCCTCCTCCTCCGCTGGCCCGCAGTGTCCTTTAGTGGGCTCGAACCAGAACTCGTCGCGCTCGTCTTTCTTTCCGAGCACTTGGAGGCCGTCCATGTTTTTGTGGTCGATGTCCTGGCTTGCACTCAAAGCGGCTCGAGAGCATGCCAGATATGATAGTGGCTACGATGGTGGAATGAGCGCAGAGAAGGCCACAGAAGAAAGCAAGATCGAGTGGTCCGCCTTCTTCTCCTCCTCCTTCTTCTCTTCCCTTCCGCTGACCAGGCTCGTGCAGAACTTCATCGTCTGCTCAATGAGCGTGATCTCCATCACGAACGGCTGCTCGTCCACCTTCTCAGCCCTCCTCTGGCGATTTCGCTCCTCCGCTCGGGGGGCGCGCGCGCGAGAGAGAGAAGCGCTGCTTGCCCTTGCACCCGCGCTCTCACACACTGATGGGCGCATGCCTTTTTGACTGACTGGCCGGGGACCTCCGCATCCCGTCCCCTAGGACGGGAAAGGATGGCCAGAAGAAACCCAGGAAGCACCAACGAGGCTGCAAGACACCCTCCCGTCCGAAGCCCGCTCCTCGCAAATCCACACGAGCCTTCCTCTCCACCACGAGAAGATGCGCCCCCTTGAAAGACGAGCACCCTATGGGCATGCCATTCAAGCGAGAGCCGTTCCTCGAAGAAAAAACTGATTTGCATCCTCCGAGCTTGCAACAAGAAATGATGACAGCGATGATCACACGGGCCTCCTGAATGCCTCGTCATTCCCTCTCCCCCCCTTTCTCGTGCTCCTTGGGCTCCCGTTCGACTGCGGCGGGTCCATGATTGCATCAATATGGAAACGCACTCGTTTCATATGGACGCCAAGTACCTCACGCAGATGTTCTGGAATAGCGTTACCTGCCCAGAAGGCCGTTCATTCGTTGCCCAATATTTTGGCTTAGATGTGCATGAGCCTATTCTGTCGCCCGATGTCCACGCAATGCCTGGGCCAATTCTACCTAGCCGCCCCGCCAAGCCTTACAAATTCCGAGAAAAAAAACTCTGGCGAAACGCCCGGACAGCCCTACCCAGACACATTTGGCGGTCAGACAAGGAGGACCAAAGAAGACTGCAAGCGGCAAGGAAGGGGGAAGAGCAGAAGGAAGCACTGAAGAGTAGGAACGTCCGTCTGCGGAAACCCTGACCAACAAATATTTGCGTCTCACCTTTACTTCCGCTGGCATTCCACCAAGGAGGCGGCAAGGAAGGGGAGGGGAAAGAAGGGAGGAGACACTGCCCCTGTCAAAAAGAAAATCAGACAGGAGGCACGTGGACGGCACATGGGGCCCCAAAAAAATCCTCGCGGCCGTCAGGGCATCACAACGTCGGAGGTGTGCGACCAAGGCGGCCACCGGCGGCCGACGACGGCCGACTGTTGACGACGGCCGCCGACGACCACGCCGGCGACCACGACGACTACGGCAGCCGTGGTCGCGTCCGTGGCTGTCGTCGTCGTCGTCGTCGCCGTTGTCGTCGTCGTCGTCGTCGTCGTCGTCGTCGTCGTCGTCGTCGTCGTCGTCGTCGTCGTCGTCGTCGTCGTCGTCGTCGTCGTCGTCGTCGTCGTCGTCGTCGTCGTCGTCGTCTTTGTCGTCGCCGTCGTCCTCCTCCTCACCTTCGGCAACCTCCTGATGGCAGGGGCCGCGGGTTCCTCGTACTCCTTCTGCCTGGCCTCGCGCTCGGCGGCGTACCTCTCCTGCTGTTCCTGGCGGGGTCCGGCTCGCGGGCCCGGCGCCCTCGGCCCGGCGCATAGCGGTCAGACAGCCTCCTGACTCCCGGGGAGGAGGAGGAGGAGGAGGAGGAGGAGGAGGAGGAGGAGGAGAGCGGAAAGGGGAGGAGGAAAGAGGAAGGAGGACGACGAGGAGGATGAGGCGAGAGGATGAGTAGAGAGGAGGGACGACGGGAGGAGGAGGAGGAGGAGGAGGAGGAGGAGGGCGGAATAGGAATAGGAACAGCAACATGACGATGTCAATGAGGAAGGAGGAGGGAAGAGGAGGAGAAGGAAGAGGAGGAAAAGGAGGACAAGGAGGAGAAGGAGGAGGAGGAGGAGCGAAGGAGGAGGGGAAAAGAAAAGGAAGGAATGAGGAGGAAAGAGCAGGGAGGTCAACGGAGGAGGAGGAAATAGGAGGGAGGAAGAGGAGGAGAAAGAGGAGGGGGAGGAGAAGAATGAGGAGGAGGATGAGGAGGAGTTGGATGTGGAGGAGGAAAGGAGGAAAGAGGGACCTGGATAAACCCAAGACTCATCAACGATGTTGCGGTGAGCCCTCCCTCCAGTCCCTCGTCATAGATTCGGTATGTATTTTCGCAGAGGGAATGCCGTGCTGGAAGACAACCGTCTAAAAATCCTGGACAGTGCCGAAAATAAAAAACAGCCTTGGAATTTTCTAGCCGCGAATCCACGTTACTGTTGCGTTCCTGCGATCTTGAATCGTACCAGAACGCAAATATTGGGACTTCAACACCGCGAACAAACGCGACTGTTGCGCCATGACAACCCATCTTCGTGCCAAAACACCATATATGGGACGTCAACCAAAAAACGGAATCGATCATGCGCTTCTGACCTGCAGTGCATGTGTACTCCGCACCATTGGGCACGCGAATAAGTCCATCCACCAACGAAGGCCATCCTGACTTCTGTAGTTCTAACGGGGTCACGTTGAAATCGCCAATCACCAGCCAAGGTGTCTTGATAGACTGCAGCAACGTACACAACTGAATCAGCTCCGTGGCATTCACACCATGGACACCAACCTCGCTGGTAAGACAAATGCCGAAGACCGAAATTGACAGCCCTCCAATCTTGAGCTGATAGCCCGCAAAACCTTTGAAGTCTACCGCCGACATGTTCATCTCGGGCTCCTGAATCTGACGGAGGCCCGTCTGCATCTGCGCCTGGCTAGCAAAATGTCTGAAACTCTAAAACTGATATCGCTTCCGAATCCCCATGGAGATTCCGCCGGCCTTGCTGGCAGTCTTGAGCGGACATGCTGGTGCAACGATGGGCTGGTATCCTAACCCACTCCACTCGTGCAAAACTTCCGTACTTTGATCTGGCAGCACATGCAGCTCTGGCAGGATGATAATGTCATGCCCACACTCACGAATGAGACTCTTGCAGGCTGGTCCCCATCCTGACAGGTTCCCCATGTACAGCGCCTGGTGCCGTCACCCACGCGGCGCTTCCGTCTGCAGGTTCGCTCGCATCGTCTGCACCATGCCGCCGACCTCCTCCCGCAGACGATCGGCCGCTCCCCGCAGCTGGTCTCCGCCCGCGCTGCTGGCGGACGCCACCGCGGGGGCGCTAGGGGCGGGGCCTGCGGGGCCGCCACGCCCAGCACCCTTTGCCGCCTCACCTCGGCCCGCGCCAGGGGCGGGGTCTGCAGGGCTCCCTGCCTCTGCACCCGCCCCCGCGCCTGGCTCCGCCGGCGCTGCCGCCTGGGCATGGGCAGTGCCCCCGCTGCCCTTGCGCTTCCTTCTGGCCCGCTCCAGGACGTCGGCCACCTTGGCCTTCTGCTCCTGCAGCTGTGCAATGGTCTGGCCGCAAGAATCACGGACCGCGTTCTGGAGCATCGTCTGAAGGTCTCCCTAGGCTTTCTCGAGGATGTCGTGATCCTGCTGCGCCAGCCCGAGCCCTTCCAGATCGATTCCCAAACTGATCTCCAAGTCCATCCTCCCGTCGAGCACCTCCTGGATATCCAGCACCGCGCCACGCTGAACTGGCTCCGCAGGCGGGGGGAACTCGCGGGCCCGCTCAATATCTTCCTTCCCTGCGGCCACCACCTCCTCCGTGCACGTGCTGAGCTTCTCCTGGCACCCCTCCAGCTCCAGCTTGGCACGCTTCCACTGCTCCTTCGCGGTCTCCACCGCCTTGCGGCTGCGCTGAAGCCTGGCGGTGGCCATCTGGAGAGCCTGCCCTGGCGGCTTGGGCTTGGGCTCTGGTGGCTGCTGCAAGGCCGCGACAAGAGATTCCACTGCCTTCTTCGCGTTGGAATATGCGCCCTTCCCGCCGCCAAGCTCTGCTGCCATTGCCTGCAACTGTTGGAGCGCAATGGTAGGGGATCCCACGGCTGGATTGCGAACCAGAGGGCCATCGCGAGCATGAAACCCAGCACCACACTCGCACAACCCCTGTTTCGCCTTGAGCCGATCTTGGAACAGCCACTTGCCGCACTCCAAACATTCCACCGTCGGTCGTGACCGCTGGCGCCCCCACCACAAACTGGGCGCGTGACTGGCCTCGACTGCCCGCCAACGGCGGATAAACGCTGTGATTCCACCACTCACCGTATCCCTTTGCAGGCTGCTGCTTGGTCCACGGGGCGAGGCGAAAACCATCAGGCGCCATGCGCTCTCCGAAATGTGTTGCAAAAGAACGAAGCTCAAACCCAGTCCAGTACCAGAAACTCCTGGCTGCTCGCTGTTGGGGCCATCTCTCCCCAGTGCCAAAACTCTAGCCCTCTGAGCCACAATGGCTACGGACTTGAGCCAAAATGGCTACGGACGGCCCAAGAGGCCCCCCAGACGGCCCCAAGAGGGCCCCAAGACGGCCCAAGAGGCCTCCAAGACGCCCAAGATGGCCTCCAAGACAGCCCTCGAGCACCCCAAGAGGGCCCCAAGTCGGCCCAGAGAGGCCCCCAAGACGGCTTCCGACGGCGTCAGACGGGCCAGGAGCCCACCAAAACGGTCCAAGATGGCTCCAAGATGGCCGAAGATGGCCCAAGAGGCCTCCAAGAGGGTCTCTGGGAAGGCCCGAAAAGGCCAAAATCATAAATAGTCCAAAAGGTTTTGGCAAGATTTTGGCATGTGCCTCTGGTCGGCCTTCCGACGGCCCGAGGCGGCCCAAGAGCACCCAAAGACCTCCCCAAGATCGCCCAAGAGGCATCCAAAATGGCCCCAGAACGGCCCAAGAGGTCCCCAAGACGGCACGGCCCCAAGAAGGCTCAATGACGGCCCAAGAGGCCCCTTACACGCCCAAGAAAGCCTCCAAGACGGCCCTGGAACATTCCAAGAGGGCCCCAAGTCGACCCAGAGAGGCCCCCAAAACGGCTTCCGACGGCGTCAGACGGGCCAGGAGCCCACCAAGACCGCCGAAGATGGCTCGAAGATGGCCCAAGACGGTCCAAGAGGCCTCCAAGAGGCCCTCAAGACGGCTTCCGACAGCGCAAACGGGCCAGGAGCCCACCAAGACGGCCAAAGAGGCCCCCGAGAAGCCCCCAAAGGCCTCCAAGAGGCCCAAAGAGGCCCCCAAGATGCCTCCAAGAGGGTCCCAGGAAGCTCCCAGGAGGCCCCAAGAGTGTCCCCAGAGGCTCCCCAAATGCCCTCTCCTCTTACTTCTCCTCCACCTCCTCCTCCGCCTGCTTCTGATCTTCCCCGCCATCCTCCTCCAAGTGTTCCCCGAAGGGTTTCCACAACGGTTGGGGGAACACATGGTCCGATAGCTTGGCAGAGCTCTTGCCACAACGCTCGGACAAATGGGCGATTGTGGATGGCATGGTGCGGCGGTGATTCGGCGTAGGCGTCTTCGATCCGCCACACCCTGTTGATTCATGACAGGGGTGCCTGGCGTGCTGGATTTCTTACGTTCTGGGTTTGGTCTACCTGGGGCTTCGGCCCGTCCCGCCGGCCACCCGAAAGGAACCGCAATCGCGCATACCGTCCGGAAAAAGACGTCCAAGAAGGCCCAAGATGGCCTCCAAGATGGCCACGTTGGCCCAAGATGGCCTCCAAGATGCCTCCAAGACGGCCAAGATGACCTCCAAGACAGCTACGATGGCCCAATGATGCCTCGCAGACGGCACAAAATGCACCCAAGACAGTCTCAGATAGCCTCTGGATGGCCCTAGACGGCCCAAGAGGCCCCCAAGAGGCCTCCAAGACGGCCCCAGCGGCCTCCAAGAGGTCCTCCAGGAAGGCTCGAAGAGGTCAAAATCATTGATTGTCCATAGGTGTTTGACGGGTTCTGTCATTTGCGCCGTTTCGGTCTTCAGACGGCCCAAGACGACCCAAAAGGCCCCCAAGGTCGCCCCGAGATCGCCCAAGAGGCCTCCAAGATGGCCCCATGACGGCCCAAGAGGCCCCCAAGACGGCCCCGAAAGGGCCCCAAGACGGCCCAAGAGGCCTCCAAGGCGCCCAAGATGGTCTCCAAGACGGCAGTGAAGCTCCCGAAGAGGGCCCCAAGTCGATTCAGAGAGGCCCCCAAGACGGCTTCCGACGGCGTCAAACTGGTCAGGAACGCCCTAAGATGGCCAAATAGGCCCCCAAGAAGCCCCCACAGGCCCCCAAGAGGCCCCCAAGACAAGAAGCCCAGGGAGACTCCCAAAAGGCCTCCAACAGGCCCCCGGGAAGCTCCGCAGAGGCCTCCCAAGAGGTTCCTAAGAAGTCTCTTCCTCCTCCTCCTCCTCCTCCTCCTCCTCCTCCTCCTCCTCCTCCTCCTCCTCCTCCTCCTCCTCCCCTTCTTCTTTTCTTATGATGCTTATCATTCGTACCATTAGGAATATGACTAGTAGTAGTAGTAGTAGTAGTAGTAGTAGTAGTAGTAGTAGTAGTAGTAGTAGTAGTAGTAGTAGTAGTAGTAGTAGTAGTAGTAGTAGTAGTAGTAGTAGTAGTAGTAGTAGTAGTAGTAGTAGTAGTAGTAGTAGTAGTAGTAGTAGTAGTAGTAGTAGTAGTAGTAGTAGTAGTAGTAGTAAGTAGTAGTAGTAGTAGTAGGAGGAGGAGGAGGAGTAGGAGTAGGAGTAGGAGTCAAGCTAGCCAGCTCGAGCGAGTCAAGCATGGCATGCCCAGTCCCACCCGCCCTCCCACAACATAAGAAGCAAAGCTGGCACAACTGGGGGCCGAAGTCACACCGGCCAGCCGGTTTGGTACAGCTGATGCGGCCGCGATGGCGGTTGCCGACGGGAACTGGCGAGCGCGTGTTGAATGCCGCGCACGCATTGCCAGACGAGTCGAGAATGGCCCGGTACACCGCAGGAAGCCAGAGGTGGCCGGAGGAAGCCCGACGGTCTGACAGGACACCCCAAAGCATTTTTGTGAAAAAGCATTGGGTTTTTGATGTTTTTATGTTGAAATGCTTGCAAACACACGGTGTTCGGTAGGATTCTGACATGAACGCGCGAGTGTGCTCTTTGTGGTATTTTTTGCACAGGATTCGCGGCCTGGGTGCATGACAGAGCATCGCGAGTGCACCGCGCGATGACGTGAAATCGCTGGATTTGACCGAATTCTTAAGATTCCTATGGTTTTCCTATGATTTCAGCAAGAGAGCCCGGGCGGGAAATTTGTACAATTTTTGTGAAAAAAACATTGGGTTTTTGATGTTTTTATGTTGAAATGCTTGCAAACACACGGTGTTCGGTAGGATTCTGACATGAACGCGCGCGTGTGCTCTTTGTGGTATTTTTTGCAATGGATTATCGCCGTGGACGACAGGACGTCCATGTCGAGAGGAAAAAAAGAAAAAAAAATGTTGATTTTGTATTGTTTTTTACAGGTTAGGATGGGACCACCCGGATGCGGCCCCTATGGCCGGCCTGAGGGGGGAGTAGGAGTATATTCTAATAAGGAATAAGGATAGGAGTAGGAGTAGTCAAGCTAGCCAGCTCGAGCGAGTCAAGCATGGCATGCCCAGTCCCACCCGCCCTCCCACAACATAAGAAGCAAAGCTGGCACAACTGGGGGCCGAAGTCACACCGGCCAGCCGGTTTGGTACAGCTGATGCGGCCGCGATGGCGGTTTCGACATGGGAAGCTGCATCCCATTCCTGCCAAGCATCCCATTCCTGCCAAGCATTTTGCGACGTGGACGACAGGACGTCCATGCTGAGAGGAAAAACGTTGGTGCGCGGCGCCGAGGCGAGAGCGACATGTCACCCCTTCGCGCGGGGTGTGCGCCGCGTCCCATTCCTGCCACGCATTTTGCGACGTGACGACAGCACGACCATGTTGACAAGAAAAACAAAAACTGTGTATTGTCTTTTGCAGATTAGAATGGGACGGATTGGATGGGCGGGCGCGGGGTGTGCGCCGCGTCCCATTCCTGCCATGCATTTTGCGACGTGGACGACAGGACGTCCATGCGACGGTGCCAATGACGGCGACGACTCTAGAAGGATTTGAGCATGCGCTCGCGGCGACGCGCGCGCATGTCGCCCGCGTGGCATTTGTTGCACAGGATTCGCGGCCTGGGTGCATGACAGAGCATCGCGAGTGCACCGCGCGATGACGTGAAATCGCTGGATTTGACCGAATTCTTAAGATTCCTATGGTTTTCCTATGATTTCAGCAAGAGAGCCCGGGCAGGAAATTTGTAGAATTGTTGTGAAAAAGCATTGGGTTTTTGATGTTTTTATGTTGAAATGCTTGCAAACACACGGTGTTCGGTAGGATTCTGACATGAACGCGCGCGTGTGCTCTTTGTGGTATTTTTTGCAATGGATTATCGCCGTGGACGACAGGACGTCCATGTCGAGAGGAAAAAATAAGAAAAATGTTGATTTTGTATTGTTTTTTACAGGTTAGGATGGGACCACCCGGATGGGGCCCCTATCTGCCGGCCTGAGGGGGGAGTAGGAGTATATTCTAATAAGGAATAAGGATAGGAGTAGTAGTAGTAGTAGTAGTAGTAGTAGTAGTAGTAGTAGTAGTAGTAGTATAAGGTAAGTAAGTAAGTAAGCAAGCAAGCAAGCAAGCAAGCAAGTAAGTCAGTAAGTAAGTAGGTAGGTAGGTAGGTCGGTAAGTAAGTAAGTAAGTAAGTAAGTAAGTAAGTAAGTAATTAAGTAAGTAAGTAGTAGTAGTAGTAGTAGTAGCAGTAGTAGTAGTAGTAGTAGTAGAAGAAGTAGTAGTAATCAAAATGATTGTTCTTCGTAGTATAGTAGTCTTCTTCTTATTTCTTAGTCGCAGTATTATTTACATTAATAATATTATTATTAGTCGTATTCTTATTCTTACTATTGGTTTCAGTATCCTCCTCCTCCTCCTCCTCCTCTACCTCCTCCTCCTCCTAGTCCTCCTCCTCCTCATCCCCCATCATCCTCTCCTCATCCTCATCATCATCCTCCTCATCCTAAGCATCATCTTCCTCACTGATAGCTTGGCCAAGCTCTAGCCCAGCTGTCGGCCACATGGGCGCTTCCAAAAGGGCAGGGGGCGGCGGTGATTCGCCGTGGGCATCTTCGATCATATTACGTCCTTGATACATCCGCCCTCCTTCGTCCCTACGCCATATGCCCTCCCACTGCAACTGGGCTACGAACACTGCGAATAGAGCGGAGCGTCTACGAAGTGGAGCCTAAGCGAGAGGCCCGAGGGTGAAGGGGGGAAAGAGAAGAGAGGAACGATCATCAGGGATGGTCACTGCCAGCACGGGTCGGAGATGCCCCGATGTCAGAAGGTGAGCGCCCCACCCGCCTCTCGCGACCGGGAGGGGTCAGTGCAGCTCCACGGGGTCCTGCTTCTTCTTCCACATAGCCTCCTTGTACTTCTTCTCCTCCTCCCTGAACGCGTCGCGGATGCCGTTCCTCTCCTGCGATCGCCCGGACAGGGCAGCGAAGGAAGGTGGAGGGGGAGGAGGATGAGGAGGAGGAGGAGGAGGAGGAGGAGGAGGAGGAGGAGGGCACGGCCCGAAGAAGAAACGAGGCAGGCGGCCAAGAGCAAGAGACGAGAAGAGGGCAGAGGGTGAAGTACCCGCGCGGCGCGCGGGCGGCCTGGATGAGCTCAAATGAGAGAAGGTAGGCCTGGAGGGGCGGGTGCCGACGCAGGTCCTGGCACATCCTCGCTTTGAGAGCACGTCGGAGACGAGCTTCCCCGAAGCACCTCCTAATGTGCTTATACTGTGATAGCTGACACAAGTCAAATCCAAAAGAATCAAAGCAAAAGACAGCAGCTGATCAGTGGGGAGGGAAAGGAGCGGGAAGACAGCAGCACGAGCAGACCCCACAAGGGAGGACAAAGCGGGAGGACGACGAGGGAGAAGAGGGGAAGCAGCAGACATCAGAACAGGACAGGCAAGCACGTGAATAAGACTACCATCACACTCAGAGCCTTGACAAAAATCACATCTCCGGGTCAGCCCGCGAAATCTTTCGGAGGCCGCCCACCCATCACACATCGTGCGGAGAACGCACGAGAGAGCGCAGGCAGGGACTTCGACGGCGATGCGCCTCAACGCCATCACTGACAGGTCGAGCTGAGTAAGACTGCAGTCCTGCCAGTGCGAGAGGCACGGGCACGAATGGCACGGAGCGGACAATCGCCGACCCTGCGAGAGGGGCACGCCTCGACCTTTTTCTCCTGGAGCCGCGAAGTGCCGAGCTCGGGCATGCTCGGGGTACGAGCGAACGCTTCACAGTTCCCCCACAGAGCACGAAAGCTGGAATCTGAATGGAGCAGCCGACTCTCCCGTGCAACTACACAGTCATCGCTTTCGCCGAGCTGGCCGGAATGGTCGGCCAGACCGAGACACTCGCCAGCGATGAGGCGAGAACCAGGGAGTGGCCGGCGTTCGGGCGAGAGCGCACGTCAACGTCGTCGTAGTCGTCGTCGAGGTCGTCAAAATCATCATCGTCGTCGTCGGCGGTGTCGTCTTGGGGGGGTCCGACGCTCCCAGACACATTATATGCTGTCACATGGTGCAGGGAAATGAAAGAAAAGATTCATTCACACACGTGGTGGGCGTATACATTCGGGACGTTCTGGCCCCTAGGCGCTCCCAAGACACATTGGGTCTAGTCGATGTGCGTCTGACACTTCAAACAAATCCTCCTGTTATGCGGCATTCATGTGGCTGCGAAACGAGAAAGCCTTTTTCCCAGCCTGTAGTGGTAGAAATCATAGTGATAATAAAAAATTAGTAGTAGAAGGAGGAGTCGTAGTAGTCGTAGTAGTAGTAGTAGTAGCAGCAGGAGTAGAAATAGTAGTAGTAGTAGTCGTCGTAGAAGTAGTAGTAGTAGTAGTAGTAGTAGTAGTAGTAGTAGTAGTAGTAGTAGTAGTAATAGTAGTGGTAGTAGTAGTAGTAGTAGTAGTAGTAGTAGTAGTGGTGGTAGTAGTAGTGGTAGTAGTAGTAGTAGTAGTAATAGTAGTAGTAGTAGTAATAATAATGGTAATAATATTAGTAGTAGTAGTAGTAGTAGTAGTAGTAGTAGTAGTAGTAGTAGAAGTAGTAGTAGTAGTAGTAGTAGTAGTAGTAGTAGTAGTAGTAGTAGTAGTCGTAGTAGTAGTAGTAGTAGTAGTAGTAGTGGCAGTAGTAGTAGTAATAATAGTAGTAGTAGTAGTAGTAGTAGTAGTAGTAGTGGTAGTAGTAGTAGTAGTAGTAGCAACCGTACTAGAAGTTAAACATAGTAGGCGTAGTAGTGATAGCAACAACAATCATAATGCTAGTAGTTGTTGGACTTTCGTAGTAGTGGTAATAATAGCAGCAGCAGCAGCAGCAAGAGCAGCAGAATCATCATTCCAATTCAGATTAGCGTGAATACATTCGCAAGTTTGCCTGCGACAATAGTAGTACGTCGACGTCGTCGTATCGGTAGCCGTAACAGCCGTACGATTAGCATACTAGTGTCGTAATAGTAGTCGTAGTAGTAGTAGTAATAATAATAGAAATAGTGATTGTGATAGCAGTAGTAGAAATAATGATACCGGAGGAAAACCCCCAATCATAATATTTTTGGGGCTGTAGAGCTATGGGGCTATACGGTAATAGGACCATAGTGCTAGGGCTATAGGACTACAGGGCTATAGGGCTATAGGAACATAGGGCTATAGGGCTACAAAGCAATAAGGCTATAGGGCTATAGGCCTATAAGGGCTATAGGGTTATAGGGCTATAGGGCGATTGGGCTATAGGGCATAAGGACTATAGGGCTATAGGGCTATAGGGCTATTAGGGCTAGAGGGCTAGAAGGCTATAGGGCTATAGCTCTATAGGTCTATAAGGATATAGGGCTATAGGACTATAGAGCTATAGGGCTAGAGGGCGATAGAGCACCCGGGCACCCCGGGGCACCCAGGCAACCCGGGGCAACTCAGGGCACCCCTGGGCACCTCCGGGCACCCCCGGGCACCCGGGCACCCCCGGGCACCCGGGCACCCGGGCACCCCCGGGCACCCGGGCACCCGGGCGTGCGGTGACAATCGGCGGCAAACCTAACCTAACCATATAAATCCGCTAGGACCTACTGAGGCAAGCTCTGATTGGGGAATAGTCGTAGTAGCACTAATAATAATAATAATAGTAGTAGTAGTAGTAATAAGAATAATAATGGTAGTAGTAGTAGTAGTAGTAGTAGTAGTAGTAGTAGTAGTAGTAGTAGTAGTAGTAGTAGTAGTAGTAGTAGTAGTAGTAGTAGTAGTAGTAGTAGTAGTAAGTAGTAGTAGTAGTAGTAGTAGTAGTAGTAGTAGTAGTAGTAGTAGTAGTAGTAGTAGTAGTAGTAGTAGTAGTAGTAGTAGTAGTAGTAGTAGTAGTAGTAGTAGTAGTAGTAGTAGTAGTAGTAGTAGTAGTGGAAGTGGTAGTGGTAGTAGTAGTAGTCGTAGTAGTCGTAGTGGTATTAGAATGATAGTGGTAGTAGTAATAGTAGTAGTAGTAGTTGTAGTTGTAGAAGTAGTAGTAGTAGTAGTAGTAGTAGTCGTCGTAGTAATAATAGTAGTAGTAGTAGTAATAGTAGTAGTAGTAGTAACAACAACAACAACAACAACAGCAGTAACAGTAGTAACAGTGGTAACAGTAGTAACAGTAGTGGTGGTAGTAGTAGTAGTAGTAGTAGTAGTAGTAGCAGTAGTAGTAGTAATAGTAGTGGTAGCAACAGAAATAATGGTAGTGTTGGAAATAATCGTAATGGTAGTGGTAGAGGTAATGGTAGTGGTAGAGGTTACGACCGTAATAATAACAGTGGCAGGTGGCAGTAGCAACAGTGGCAATAATAGAGTTAGTCGTCGTCGTAGTGATCGTAATCCGCCGGCCCCTTTGTGGGGCCATCAGGCTGCGAGGGTTAGGTCTCAGTGCGTCGCTTGCAGATTCCAATCTCCAATGTTGCAGTCCTGGTTCCCGATTCTTATTGTAAAGTGTTGAAGTCCGCGCGAGGGGGGGAGCCGAAAAGCGTCTGGTTACCCCCCCCCGAATCGCATTATCTGAATTCCTGCGGGGCCGTGGGACTCGTAAGAATACGCGAGGTTCGCGTTCCCGACGCAATAGCCCCTCGTAAATTACACTGTGCTCGCGTCCCCGAGGCCACGATCCCTCGCAATTTGCACCACATTCGTGTCCCCGAAGCCACGATCCCTTGCAAAATATGCCGTACTCGCACCCCCGAAGCCACGATGTCCTGCAAATTACGCTACATTCTCGCCTCTGGGACCACGATCCCCTTAAGATTACGCCGCAATTGCGCCCCCGAGGCCACGATCACTTGTAAATTATACAATATTCGCGTCCCCGAAGCTGGTAGCCCCGTCAAATTATCTTATTCTTGCGTTCCAGAGGCAACCGACCTTTGTAAAATACAATGTTCGCGTCCCCGAGGCCATTCACATTCACAAGTTATAAGTTCTTGCGCCCCCGAGGCAGCACACCCTCGTAACTTACTCGAGTATTGCATCCCCGAGGCAACAGACCTTTGTACATTACAACTCTCGCGTCCCCGAAGCCAGAATCCCTCGTAGATTATCAACACTCGCATCACCGAGGCCACAATTCCTCGCGAATTGCTCAGTAGCCGCGTCCCCGAAGCCAAAATCCGTTTCAGATTACGCAATAGCCGTGCCCCCGAAGCCACAATGACTTGCGAATTGTTCAGTTGTTATGTCCCCGAGGCAACAAAACCTTGCACATTATTATAGATTCACGTCCACGTCGCCATAAAACCTCGTAAACTACGCCATACGCCAAGAATGTTCCAAGGCGCCCGAGGATGATTCCAATACGGCCCCAGAGGGTTCTCGCACTTTCGGTTTCCGACGCTCCAAGATGGCTCAAGAAGCTCCCAGGACCGCCCCAGGACAGCCCACGACGCCTCCGAGAGGGCCCCAAAACAGCCCGAGCGGGCTCCAAGACGGCCCAAGAAGCGCCCCGAGAAGCCCCGAGAAACCTCCCGGGAGCCCCCAGGAGGCTCCAAGAGGCGCCCAAGACGCGCCGAAGAGGCCTCCTAGAGGCCCAAGAAATACCCCAAGAGGCCCCAAAGGCCTCCAAGAGGCCCCCAAGAGGCCCCCAAGAGGCCCCCAAGAAACTCCAAGAGGCCCCCGAGGGACCCCCCACGACACCCCAACACATGTACAAGAGGCCTCAGACACACAACCCAAATACGGTGGCAGGATGGGCCGAAGGCCACTCGGATAACGCCAGCGTACCAATATGCGCTGATGATGCCCATCCGCCCCCGCATGATGCGCCGAGACGCACCGACGCGCCTCTGAGAGATCCCTCTGTGGTAGAGAGGGGCTCCGCGGCAGACGGCGAAGCCCTTACGGGTAGCAGTAGTAGTAGTAGTAGTAGTAGTAGTAGTAGTAGTAGTAGTAGTAGTAGTAGTAGTAGTAGTAGTCGTAGCAATAGTAGTAGTAGTCGTAGTAGCCGTAGTGGTACTAGAATTTTAAAAAATAGTAGTAGTACTCGTAGTAGTAGTAGTAGTAGTAGTAGTAGTAGTAGTAGTAGTAGTAGTAGTAGTAGTAGTAGTAGTAGTAGTAGTAGTAGTAGTAGTAGTAGTAGTAGTAGTGGTAGTAGTAGTTGTTGTTGTAGTAGTTGTAGTAGTAGTAGTAGTAGTAGTAGTAGTAGTAGTAGTAGTAGTAGTAGTAGTAGTAGTAGTAGTAGTAGTAGTAGTAGTAGTAGTAGTAGTAGTGTAACAGTACTAGTAGTAGCAGTAGTAGCAGTAGTAGTAGTAGTAGTAGTAGTAGTAGAAGTAGTAGTACTAGTAGAGGTAGTAGTAGCAGTAGTAGTAGTTGTAGAGGTAGTAGTACTCATCGTCGTAGTAGTAATCGTAGTAGTCAAAATAACAGTAGAAGTAATAGTAAAAGTCATAGTAGTTGTCGTGAAAATCGTAGTAGTACGAGTAGCGATAGTAGTAGTAGTAGTAGTAGTAGTAGTAGTGGTGGTAGTAGTAGTAGTAGTAGTAGTAGTAGTAGTAGTAGTAGTAGTGGTAGTAGAAATAGTTATGGAACTAGTAGCAGTAGTAATGGTAGTAGTGAGAATAGTTCAAGTAACAGTACTAGTAGGAGTAGTCGTGGTAGTAGTAGTAGCAGTAGTAGTAGTAGAAATACGAATAATCGTAATAATAGTCGTAACGATACTACTAATAATGGTGACAGTGGGAGACCTAGTAGCCGTTATAGTAGTAGTAGTAGTAGTAGTAGTAGTAGTAGTAGTAGTTGGTGTTGTTGCTGGTGTAGTACTATAAATTCTAATGATAATAATAACCGCAGTAGTAACAACAGTAGTAGCAGTGGTAGTAGTAGTAGTAGCCGTTGGTGTTGATGCTGTAGTAATATCAATAATAATAACCACAGTATCAGTAACAATAGTAGTAGTAGTAGTCGTCGTCGTCGTAGTAGTAGTTGTCGCAGTGGTCGTCGTAATACAAAAAAATCGTAGCGGTAGTAGTAGTAGTAGTAGTAGTTGTGGTAGTAGTAGTAGTAGTAGTCGTCGTCGTCGTAGTACTAGCAGCTGTAGTAGTAGTAGTGGTAGTAGTAGTTGTTGTAGTAGTTGTTGTAGTAGTAGTAGTAGTAGTAGTCGTAGTAGTAGTAGTAGTCGTCGTAGTAGTAGTAGTAGTAGCGACAGTTTTAGCGATAGTAGTGGTATTGGTCGTAGTAGTAGTAGTACCAGTAGCAGCAGTAGTAGTAGTAGTAGTAGTAGTGGTAGTAGTAGTAGCAGTCGTAGTAGTAGTAGTAGTAGTAGTAGTAGTAGTAGTAGTAGTAGTAGTAGTAGTAGTAGTGCACTGTGCACGACGTAATACTGGTAGTACTAGTACGAGCATCTCTGACAATCAGCACAGCTAGTATTTCATAATAATCGTTAATCGTAGGGCAGAATGTAGACTGCAGGGCTTCTGCGGAAAGCTGCTTAGTTTTCTCTGCCGCAAGGGTGTCATGCAGACTCTGATTGCCCCCACAGGAAAGCCGAAAAGCATGTTATCTCTCATATGTTTTTTAAACAATTAATTGATGAATACCTCATGGGGTGGACTGATTTCTAAGACCTCAAGGTCCTCTTGGCGCTCACTTGCGACGTCTCGGAAAGGAGATCCAGAGAGGGCAGACGGGAAAGGAAGATAAATTAAGACGAGGAAGAATCTGCAGGATACGAGCAGTGAGCATGCGAAGGGAAATCAAAAGGAAAAATGAAGAGACAAGGGTAAGGAGTACGAGGATTAGAAACAGGAGCAACAGCATCGAAGCCGAATCACCGCGGCTCCCCTGACTTTGGAAGGAGCCAATGCGGTCAAACGCTGCGGAAACGCAACGCACGTGTGGACGATCATCAATTGAAAACTCGCCCGATTGCAGTTGAATTCTGAGGCCCGCTTGGGCTCTTTTGCGGCTGTATCGGAGCTCTTGGAGGGGCTTCTCTTAGACATCATTGGGGACCTCCTGGGGCTCTATTCAGCCGCCTTGGAACCCTCTTGGAGTGTCTTGGGGCACTAGACGGCCTCGAGGCCGTCTCGGCGCCCTTTTAGGCCATCCCAGAGCCCCCTTGGGCCAGTTTGGTCCCCTCTTGGGCAGTTTGGGGGCCAATTTTGGGAGCCTATCTCGGGAGCCTATTGGGCCGTCTTGGACGCTCTCAAGACGAACAAGGCGACAAAACCATTAGAATATGTAGCGTCTGAGGTGCCTCGTGAGCGCTCTCTTGGACTGCTCTTTGCGTCTCGGGAGCTTCAGTGGCAATCTTGGAGCCGTGTTCCCCTGTTTTGTAAGTCCACCCCTGCCACCTTTCGGGCTTCTGGAGCCGTCCGGGGTGGGCTGCGGGGGGTCGATCTTGTGGTCGGGGTCCCAGTCTCGGACCCCAACTTCTTCAGTTGTGGTCGAGGCACCAACCCAGGGGGGGCTGGGCCCGTCCCCTGCCGAAAGGCCCATGACCAGGCGAAGGAGAACAACTCCAGAAGTAGCATCGGCTATGCTGGCAATCTCGTGCAATCTCCCAGGCTCAGCCCTAGTTCCATCGCAGTCCAAGCTGGACAGAACATGGCAGAATAAGATGATAATCCTGATGGGGTGATGGTGACGGTGATGATGATGGCTATTGACGGTGATGATGATGATGATGATGATGATGACAATGATGACGATGATGATGATGATGATGATGATGATGATGATGATGATGATGGTGATGGTGATGGTGATGGTGATGATGGTGATGATACTGGTGGTGGTGGTGGTCATGATAATGATGATGATGATGATGATGATGATGATGATGATGATGATGACGATGCTGATCTTGTTAATGGTGTTGACGATGATGATGAAGGTGATGGTGGTGCTGATGATGCTAATGCTGCTGGTGAAATGACGGGCGTGATGCCGCTGATGATAATGTTGATGATGATGCTGCTGATGATACTCGCGACGTTGATGGCGATGATGATCAGTGTGATGATGACGACGACGATGATGATGATGGTGATGATGATGCTGATGCTGCTGGTGACGCTGATGGCGATGATGATGATGATGGTGATGATGATGATGATGATGATGATGGTGATGCTGATGACGGTGATGATGATGATGATGATGATGATGGTGATGATGATGATGGAAATGGTGGTGGTGGTGATTGTGATGATGATGATGACGATGATGATGCAGATGGCAGTGGTGGTGACGGTGATGACGATGATGATAATGATGGTGATGCTGATGGCGATGGCGATGGTATGGTTATGGTGTTGATGGTGATGGTGATGAAGATGCTGATGCTGATGATGCTGATGATAATGAAAAATAGACTCTCTCGGCAACCCTGCGAAACATCGAAACCCCCGTATTCGATTCCAGCCTCGCTCGTGGAGGGAGGAGGAGAAGGATGCGGAGGAGGAGGAGGAGGAGGAGGAGAGGGAGGAGGAGGAGAGAGGAGGAGGAGGGAAGAGAGAGGAAGGAGAGGGAAGGGTGGAGGAGGAAGCGAGAGACGAGGGAGGAAGGAGGAAGGAGGGGTAAGGGATGGAAAGAACGGACGGAGGAGCGACGAAGCCGCAGGCCAAGATATTACGTGCAGGCGGTGCCGCCTGGCCTGCGAGGGCAGGCGGCAGGAGGAGGAGGAGGGAGGAGGAGGAGGAGGAGGAGGGGAGGAGGAGGAGGAGGAGGAGAGGAGGAGGAGGAGGAGGAGGAGGAGGAGGAGCCGCCCCCGGGACCGCGAGGAGCACGGTCTGGAGGGGCGCCGCGGTGCCCACGCCCCTGCCACAGCAGCCGCGGTGCTACCCACAAGGGGAGCGCGGATCCACCTCCTCCGCCCTCCTCCGCCTCCTCCTCCTCCTCATCCGCCTCCTCCTCCACCTCCTCCTCGGCCACGGACGGGCTTGTCCCCGGCTCAGAGCCGAGGGAGGACCCGAAGACCAGGCCCCCCCCCCTTTTTTGGCCCGGTGGATGCCACGACAACGAACACCCTGAGAGGCCGATCCTCGAATCTGAGATGTGCTCAGCGTGTGTGGAGCATGTCGGAAGCATGCTCTAGACATGTGTTATAGACCTGTTTGCTCTCGCATGCTCAAAGACATATGTGACCCGTGTGTTAGGCATCTGGACATGATTCGGCAGCGTGCTTCCTCTCCGTGGATCGTCCTCCACAGCTCTGGCCCTTCTCCCGCACGCCGGGGCGTGCAGCCGCAGAGCAGGGGCCGAGACTCTGCTCCACGCTTGGGGTCGACGTGCCCAGGGAAGCCGACAGCTGGGCCGTCCAACAGACGACGGCCGACAGACCGTGCCGCTCGTGGTATCCTCTCGGCGGCGCGACGGTGGGGGAAGTGAGAGGGGGCAAGCCTTCTCCCAGGAGGGAAAGAAACACACAGACACAACTTATCGTCGATGCCCCGGAAAATCTGGGGAAATATGGGAAGTGGGGGGGAAGACTAAACCCAGAAAATATGGGAAAATATGAGGAAATATATTATTTGTGTGTATTGACTTGTGCTTCCCAGAGCCCCTTGATTCTCAGAAGACGGCAGGGCATCGCAGAAGCCTTCCGTGCCTTCTGAGAAGCCGTCTTCGGCTTCCGAGAAGGCTTGGAAAGCTGCTCAAGAAGCCAGAGGGCTTCTGAGCCTTTTGAGAAGGCCCGCCCCCTCTGCCTGCCCCCCTGAGCGCGCCGCCGATCCTGGTTGTTGCGATGGACGGGAGGGAGGAGTAGGATCTAATCCTCCATCTTCGCCCTGATCTGCTCATTGAGCTTGTTGCGCTCCTGAGGACGATGAGCGCACGTGCAACTCGAACACACTAGAAGATGAGAAGGAACAGTCGAACGACACAAAACGACAACTCCACGTTATCACAAAATGCGCCTTCGGAAATGCAAACGCGTAGCAGCGAGATCTCACTTACCACCTCCAGAGCCGCGAACAAGGTCATCAGCCGTATGTTTACATGCATGCAACTATATACACGCATCTACCAAGGGTGCTTGCGGTACGCATGGCACGCCCGATACGCAACATACACCAAGGACGTTGCAAGAGCACATGTGTCCCTCGCTCTCGTCTTCCCCCTCCTGTCCCCTCCTCCTGGTCCCATAATCTCTCATTCCCGACCTTCTCAGATTCGCCCTCCGCTACTTCGCCCAGCTCAGTTGGCGACGTGGGCGATAATAGCCCTAATGTCATCAAGAGCCGGTTAGGCTCGCCATGATGCACTACGGCGCAACTGATTTAGGCTGATAACAGAGCCACATGCGCGCTTCACGAGCGTGTGGTCTAGCCAAACACACCATATGGTGCGAATGCCAAGATGAAATGTTGTCGGGCCCTCCTTATCTTTTCGACTATCTGGTTCCCCATGTCTCCTCCATCCTCGACTCTGTAGCGCGCTTCTCGTCGCCAGCAGCATCATCATCATCATCATCATCATCATCATCATCATCATCATCATCATCATCATCATCATCATCGTCATCAGCAGCAGCAGCATCACCATCACCATGACCATCAACAACAACAACGACAACCTCAGCATCATCGTCATCATCATCATCAGCATCAGCATCCGCATCATCGCCGCATCATCATCATCATCATCATCATCATCATCATCATCATCATCATCAGCATCAATATCAGAATCGTCATCATCATTATCATAATCATAATCCTCCTCATCATAATCATTATCATCATCATCATCGTCATCATCATCAGCATCATCATCAGCTTCATCAGCATCATGATCATCATCATCAGTTTCATCATCATCAGCATCAACAGCATCATCGTCAGCATAATCATCATTAGCATCGTCATTATTATCGTCAGCAGCATCATCAGCACCATCAGCTTCATCATCATCATCATCATCACCATCATGATCATCAGAAGAGTCATCATCATCAGCGGCATCAGCAGCTTCATCATCACCATCAGAATCAGAATCATCACCATCATCATCGTCATAATTTCCTCGTCATCATCATCTCCACCATCATCGTCATCAGTATCGTCATAAACATCGTCATCATCATCAACATCATCATCAGCTTTGTCATCAGCATCACTATCATCATCATCAGCAGCATCATCAGTATCATCATGTTCCTCATCATCATCCCCCTCATCATCAGCAGCATCAGCATCAACATCATTGTCATCATCGTCATCGTCATCATCATAATCATCCTCATCAGCATCTGCCGTCGGACAGCTGCTGATTAGAACTACTGCTGCTGCGTACCGACCGAAGATTTCTGTCATAGTCAGCCTGCTCGCCAGTACCACTCACTCCAGACACAGCGCCATGCAGACGCGCATGGCCAAGGGCGGGCAGACATGGTATATACGTGGGAGGCCCGTTGCTCTACGAGCAGCTGGCCGCAGGTCACGCAATCAAACATGTTGGCAGGCTCGACTTATGGTATTGCTAATCAAGTATCTCTGGACCAAGCTGGCAAATCTAGACATCGGCCTTGATACCACCTTGTTCGCATCCTGAGGAACACGCCCGAGGCGAGCGTACGTTCACGGGGTACGCCAGGGTCGTGTCAGGTAGCATCGTCCTTTCTGATGACCTCTCGGGGCTCATTGGGCTGCGGCATCCTCGCGTCGGCAGAGACGGCCCCGAGACGGACACGCTGGGGCACAGCCTGCATCGTCGTCGCTCGCAGCAAAGCCGATTCGTCAAGATCCGTTGCAACGGGGAAGGCAATCGAAAGGGAGCTGCCGGCGACGCCCCACTCACCCGCTCTCTGGGCGCCATAGATGATGGCTTCATCACAGAATTCTGCCTCCGGGTAGTCCAGAGCGATTCTGTGCGGAACGTTTGAATCACTTGACAGCATCTCCCCCACAATGGCTGCACCGTTCGAAGCCCGTCCAGATTGGACTTCCTGTTGATGAGCTTTTCGTGGCCACACTCTGGGCACGGGTTGGGGCAGCTGCGCACTCACGTCCTCGTGCTGCTCCTCCTCTCTCTCCCATGTTCCCTCCTCGCTCGCCCAGCCATCATCTCCTCTCCTCCAGCCGTCCCCCCCCCGCCCTCAGATGTTTTGGTCCGCGTTCCCCCTTGAGCCCCCTGCTGCCAGGGAGCGCGCAGCACGCGCGGCCAGTGTCCTCGTAGACGTTTTGATCGCCGAGCTTCCCCTCGTACTCCTTCTCGAGCGCCTTTCTCTCCTCGAGAACCTGAGGAGAAAGCAAGGCGCGGGCGACCTGCCTGGGCGGCCGACCGATGCATGCCAGGCACCGCCACGGCGGTCGCGAAAGCCCATGCGGCCACCACCACCACCACCACCACGTCCACGACGACGACGATGACGACGACGACGACGACAACGACGACGACGACGACGACGACGACGACGACGACGACGACGACGACGACGACGACGACGACGACGACGACGACGGCGGCGGCGGCGGCGGCGGCGGCGGCGACATCGACGACGCCATTGAACGATTGCCAACGCCATCATCACGAGCACTCAGCGCAGGGTCACAACGACACCCACGACAAACCACAGTGACTGCAGTGCGGCCGCGAGCAAAAAGCCATAACCAGCACCGTCGTCCCAGCCGTCGAACGCAATTGACCGCGACTTCGATCACCAGGACCGCCAACACGGTACCTCCAGCATTAAACGAAGAAGGAGGCAAAGCATTGCCCTGCGGCGTACCCACCCCATCTGCAATAAGTGACAAACGGAACTGGCCCAGAATAATATGACTGATGGGAACGCAGGATCTGTCAACGGCTAGGGAGACCTCCAAGACAGCCCCAATCGGGAGCCCAGACGGGGGAACCCGAACGCACACTCCCGCCTCTCAACCCCACGACGCCTCTAGGAAGCCCCATGAGGTCCGCAAGAGGCCCCAAGGAGCTCCACGACGCCCACAAGAGGCCCCAAGGAATCCCCACGAGGTTCCAAAGAGGCCCCAAAGAAGCTCCCAACAGGTTCAAGAAAAATCCTAAACTGCCCCCGAACCCCCGAAAGCGCCCCGAGGAAGCCCCATGCCATCATCCCTCAGGACTGGGGCCCCAAGACGGCTCAAGAAGCTTCCAAGACGGCTAAACAGACCTCCAAGACAGCCCCCAGTCGGGAGCCCTGACGGGGGGACCCGACCGCACATTTCGACCTCTCAGCCCCACGACGCCTCTAGGATGCCCGCCAAAGGCCCCAAGAAGTTCCACGAAGCCCACAGGAGGCCCCCAGGAATCCCCACGAGGGTCCGAAGAGGCCCCCAAGAAGCTCCCAACACGCTCCCACAAGGCCCCCAAACTGCCCTCCCAAGCTCCCGAGAGCCCCCCGAAGAGACCCCAAGAAGCATCCGTGAGGTCTCTGACTCACAACCCAAGTACGTTTCGAAACTCCGCTCGAGTTCTCTTGAACCATCTTGGCGCCCTCTAGGGCAGTCTCCCGTTTTTCTGTTCGACAGGGCGCGAGCCACATTTCCAAAGAGATCCTCGCAGACAACCCTGCCTGCCCCACCTTTGCCACAGTACGCGCACACCACCCTGCAACCACCGCGATGCGAAATGAACCGGCGGAATGAGAGAAGCGACTAAATCAGATGGCTGATGAGGACGCAGGATCTGTCTTTGGGTGTGCAAGCTATATGGGAAGCGCGCGCGCGCTGCAGACTCACATGACAGCAACATAAGGACGAGGGCTGAGGCCACAGGCTCGAAGAGGAAATGAGGGGTGGGCAGGACGAGGACGGAAGAGGGGCCGAAAACTTAACGCGACAGCAGCAGTGAGACGGTGGAAGGAGCACAGGGACGACAACGAAACCTGCACCACGAGGACAGAGGGCGGCGATCAGTTTCCAGTGGCACGCTGTGCGCGCAGCGCGGCCCGCACCACGTCGCTCTGGCGTTCTGAAGGGTCAGATGCTCAGCACCAGTGTCTAAGAAGCGAGCGACGCCGACCTCGCTCGCCATGGTTCTCTGCTCCCTTCCTGCACCTTGCCATGCGGGAGCCAAACGCCCGCAGGCGCGCCGCCAGGTCTCCAGGCGGCCCGTGGGGAAGAAGAAGGCAGAGCTAACCTGAATCGCGTAGGACGTCGTTCCGCTGGACCCCCCAGCGGCCTTCGAAAATTACAACAGTTTCGCAATCCGCAGCCCCCCAAGGCTGGCGAAGTCAAATCTAAATTTGAGGTCATTCCGCTGGAACCCCCAAAAAGCCATCGAAAGTGGCGACGGTTTCGCAGTTCACAGTCCCCCAGGGAGGTCGAGGTCGAACCTGAATCTGCGTAGGACGTCACCATGCTCGACCCCCCAGTAGCCCGCGAAAGTGGCGACAATGTGTCAGTTCTAAGCCCACCTAAGGATGCCGAGGTCTCATCTGAATATGCGTCGGACGCCATTCCGCTGGCACTTCCAGCAGCTCTCGACGGTTTCGCAGTTCACAGTCCCCCAGGGAGGTCGAGGTCGAACCTGAATCTGCGTAGGACGTCACCATGCTCGACCCCCCAGTAGCCCGCGAAAGTGGCGACAATTTGTCAGTTCTAAGCCCCCCTAAGGATGCCGAGGTCTCATCTGAATATGCGTCGGACGCCATTCCGCTGGAACTTCCAGCAGCTCTCGAAAGCGGCGACAATTTCGAACTTCGCAGCACCTCAGGGAGGGCGAGGTCCAATCCGAGTCTGCGCAGGACGTCACTATGCTCGACCCCCACAGCACCCCTCGAAAGTGGCGACAGCTTCGCAGTTCGCAACACCGGAGGAATGGTGAGGCCGACTCTGAATCTACGCAGGACGTCACTATGCTGGACCCTCCAGCAGCCCTCGAAAGAGGCAACAGTTTCGCAATTCGCAGCACCCCAGAGAATGCGAGGTCAAATCTGAGTCTGCGTCGGACGCCACTATGCTCGGCCCTCGAAAGTGGGGACCGTTTCTCAGCTCGCAACCCCCTCAGGGATGGTGAGGTCGAATGTGAATCTGCGTAGGACGTCACTATGCTCGACCCCCCAGCAGCCCTCGAAAGTGGCGACGGTTTTGCAGTTCGCAGCCCCCCAGGGATGGTGAGGCCGAATATGAATATGCGTGGGACGCCATTCCGCTAGACACCCAGCAGCCCTCAACAGGCGACAACAATGTCTACTCTGGATCTGCGTAGAACGCCACTCTGCTGGAGTCCCAGCAGCCCTCGAAAGTGGCACCGGTTTCGCAGCTTGCAGCACCCCAGGGAGGGTGAGGTCCCATCTGAACATGCGCAGGACGTCACTGTGCTCGACCCCCCCCCAGAAGCCCTCGAAAGTGGGGACAGGTTTGCAGTTCCCCCCGCCCCCAGGGATGGCGAGGCCACAGAGGACGGCGATGTCATGGGCGAGCTGGCACGCAGGCACAGGCCAGGTCTGGCAGGGAGCAGGAGAGAAAAGGAAGAGGGGGGAAGAGGTGAGGCGCAGGGGGGAAGAGGGGGGAAGAGAGGAGGGGGGAAGAGAAAAGGAAGAGGGGGGAAGAGGGGGGGGTCTGGAGGGAGCAGGAGAGAAAAGGAAGAGGAGAGAAAAGGAAGAGGGGAGGACTGCAGATCCCGAGTGCTCGCTTTGAAGCGAGATCCGAACGCAGGAGGGCTGGGAATATAGGCATAAGCTCGCGGAGCTCCGCGCGGACTCCTGCATCAACGCCGGGCCCTCCCGGCGGCGCCTCCGGCGCCGCCCCTGGCGCGCTCCGCGCGCAGGGGAGGTGGGTCCAGCGCCGATCCGAGAACTCCGCACGGAGCTCCGCGAGGCTGTGCTTTATGCCGCTCTTCGGTACGAAGTCGTATACACACTGGCCATGGCAACCACGACGCAGGTGCTGGGACCAGGGATTCTCACGGTGGCCGCGACGACAAAAAAGTGCCTCCGACCAACACCTGTCGCCACCGACACCGCGATAATACATGCTGCGGCCAGGCTGGCGAGCAGAATTGCCTGTGGAAGGCCACTCGCTCTGTAAGAATGGCGATCGACCATGGTCTGTGACCGCGTAACCAAAGAGTGATGGGAGCGGCGGTGGCGTGGGATCGCCCGCGACGCCCTCTCAGACCCCCAGCATTCCAGAGAGCCCCAAGAGGGCCCTAGGAAGCCATGTTTCGGCCTCAAGGGCGGCAGGGGTGATCGAGGATTTCATTTTTCGTTCGATCTCCCTAGGCGGTCCCCAGAGGGCCCCGAAGGCCCCCAAGAGGGCCCCGAGAGAGCTCCGACAGAGCCAAAATGCCCCCCAAAGCGCCCTGAGAGAGCCTCAAGATGGCCCCAAGAAGCCTCGAAGAGGCTCCCAGAGGTCCCCAGGTTGGCCATTGCTGGGGGCTGATCGGGCCGACTCCACTGTCGACTCTACCACTCGGCGCAAACTCTGAAAATGTTTTGTTTGCGAACGTATCCAGGATACGCTCGGACGCACCCCGAGCTTCGCGGATTGACGCCTGGCACCCTTCCTAAACAGGTCTGCTCCCTGAAACAGCAGCGCCTCAGAGGGTCCGCTGCCATGGATCGAGGCGACACCACGGTGTGATGGCGACAGCGGGCAGCAACAACAGCACTCAATCGTTGTGTTTTGAGCAGTTGCGGTGACTGTGATGATGACGATGGCCGCAGTGGGCATCAGTGATGGCAGCTACTAATTAAGGCAGCGAGCAGCTACGGCAATTGTTGCGGCGGTGGGTAGCGATGTTAGCAGTTCGTGCGGTGACGAGCGACACGGAGAATTGCACGCTGATGCTGGCGGCGATCAGCAACGGCAGACGTGGCCATGGGGTCGGCGGTGGCGGCGTTGATGATGGCAGAGATGACCGTTGGCGTAAACAAGCTGGGGCGCGCCTCGGCCTTCGCCTGCATCCATGTCCTGATGTTCTCGCTGATCTTTTGCAGCTGCACGGGTCGAAAGGAGGATATAGAGGTGGGCAGACAGAAATTGAAGTGACCCCAGGAAGGAAGGGAGCAAGGCGGGAGGGGAAAGGGCACGGAGGGGAAGAGGGGGAACAACGATCTGGGTCACCTGGCTTCGAGCATCGTGCCCCGCGATGCGCGACGCGCCAATATCTTCGCGTCCTCGCCAAGTCCCCCCTCCCCAGAGAAGCGCTCTCTGGCCTTGACCGCGACTGACTGCGACGCGCGAAGCGCGATTATCTTCGCGCCCCCGCTTGCGACCTGCACAAAGGGAGCCACGGGGAGGGAAGGCAAGTAACTCGGGTGAACATCGCTCTGATCGGCGCCGTGACCTGTTCACCGCCTTCCTTCCTTCCTCGACTACACTGCGATCAGATCATGGGGATGCCTGATAAGGATGTAACGCCTTTGGACGCCCGAGTTGGAGCCAATGTTGGTAGCCCATGGCCATGGCCGGTGGCTAAGGGCGAAGGGCGCGGATGAGCTGAGAGGCTGGGACACCCTTGGAGAGTTACCCGTCCTTGTGATACGCTCTGACCGAGCTCCTCGGTGATGCACGAAGGAGGCGAGCGGTCGGCTGGACGGAAAGGAGGAGAGCAGGGGATCCGAGCGGATTCCTCAGATCGACGCTGGGCCCCCTGGGGGCCCCCTGGCGGCGCCGCCGACGCCCCTGGCGCGCTCCGCGTGCCAGGGAGGGGGGTCCAGCGCCGATCCGAGAGATCCGCGCGGATCTCCGAGCGTCTATGTTTATGTCATTGCTAGTTCTCCTAAAGAGGGACAAGCGGAGGATAAAAAGCGAGGCAGAGACGTAGCAGCATCAGCAAGCTACTCCATCCACGCCTCCCTGGCTCCTGCTGGGTCCCCTCGTGCACCCAGGCCAGGTCAGGTCAGGCCCAATCGTGCACAGCGGAGACGCTGTTGGAACGCTGCGAAGTGGCACAAACACGCCCCCCGAAAACACGAAGCTGCAAGCAGGTTTCTGCGAGGCCATGGAGTCTGCGAATTCATCTGTTGAGCAGAGACCGACCGTCGCGGCATTCCTGTGGTCCCACCACGACATGTTCTTGGAACCCACAAACGTTCTAAGAACAAAAACCAAGTTTTTAGAACACAAACACGATGTGATAGAACAAGACAGCCCCAACCAGAAATGTTCTGAACATTTCGTGGGAGCCACCAAAGGCTCTTAGAACACTGCCTGGCAGGACGATAGGCACGCCGGGACGCTTCGCCACTGCTTGATTCGAGACAACGGCGGCTCTCCCGCCCGGCTCAACTAAAGGGGCCCCAGGACACACAAATAAATACACACGAATAAGATGATTCCCCATATTTTCCAACATTTCGGGGGTTTTCGTCTTCCCCCCCCACTTCCCATGTTTTCCCATATTTTCTGGGGAAGCAACGATGAATTGTGTCGGTGTGTTGTTGTTCCCCTCCTGACACTCTCCGAGGCGGACCCCGCCGTGGCGACGAGACGCCTCCCTCGGAGACAACACACGCCGGGGAGCGCCGATCCGCTGTCCCGACGGGCCCCTCTCGGACGAGAGCGCTCGCCTTCGAGATCCGCCAGAACGAGAAGCCCGACCACGAGGAGGTGCCTGGGGCAGCCCCCGCCGAAGACCTCCCAGCTGGAGCCGTGCGCAGAGGGAGGAGGAGGAGGAGGAGGAGGAGGAGGAGGAGGAGGAGGAGGAGGAGGAGGAGGAGGAGGAGGAGGAGGACCGCGCCGCGTCGCCGAGGCATCCCCGCTGCAGCGGCGACTCCTCGGCCGTGCGCGGCTGGAGCCGTGCGCAGATCGGGTCGGGCGAAAGGGGGAGATAGCAAAGGGAGGGGGTGAGAATCAGCTCACGCAGCTGATTTTCCCGGCGCCTCCCGGCGCCGGAGGCGACAATGTATCGAGGAATGGGCCCCTCGGTGAGGCCGAAATCAGCTGCATGCAGCAAATTTCGTAACCCCCCCTTTCCCAATCCCCCCCTTTCGCCCGGCCCGAGCAGAGGGGGTCGGAGGATCGCGCCGCAGCGCCGAGGCATCCCCGCTGCAGCGGCGACTCCTCGGCGGCGTCGACGTGGACAAGAACCGGGCTCGGGGTCGAGCCTTAAGTCGGGCCTGTCCCCCTACAGGGGGATGTTCGACGAAACATGTTTTTTTAAGGACAAAAAAAAAGCCAAAAAATA